AAAAAAAAAACAAACCAGGCCCCCCCCCCCCCCCCCCCCCCCCCGAGGGTAGTTAGCTGGGTGTGAAGGGGAGGAGATGGTGATTGGAGCATCCTCAGTTATCCTTGAAGAGTTTTCAGTTTCAGATGCAGTGCAAGAAATTGCACAGCTTGCTGGAGACGGCAAGAAAAATTTCTATAGCTGTGCTGGTTTCCTCTGGAGAAAAGGAATCCTGAATTGGTAGAGATAACCTTAAATTGCATGATCGGTTTAGGGGAGCTTGGCATTTAATAAATCCACTAGTAGTTCTTCTGTGTGATCAACCTTGCAATAAATAGGATCCTTGTGACCAAAGCCATGGATGCCTGGTACAGTTCCAAAGGCATGTGAACTACATCAGGTTAGGAGGCATATCTGCATAGTGGACATTGTGTCTTTGGTATTTCTTCAGCTAATCAGATTGCTTCACATGTGCTTCTTTCCAAACAAACCATATCCATTTAAAGTGAGGCACATCTTTAATATTTGTACTATGAATAAACTTTGAACCTTACACCCAGTTTCTGCTATGAAATGGGGATAATACTTCCCCCAAATGATTTTAAAACTAAATTAATACCTGGATAGTGCTTTGAAGATGCTCCAAAGTGCAGGGTTTTTAAAATCAAGAAACTACTGGGCATCTGATCAAGAAGGAAATGAGAGAGAGATTAGAGGAGGCTCTTTATTAACTGAGATGGGACAAGAAAACAAGCTGGAAAATTGGCAGTTTTACTCAAGAAAGCAGACTAGGGGGGAAAAAGTCATCGTGGCCCAATGGGCCTGTCACTTGGTGGAGTGTCTTATACGTTTCTTTCTCCAATGAAATCCAGGCAAACTTCCAGCTGCTGTGTTTTCTCAGCTGAACACAAGGCTGAGTATGGAAGCCCTGCTAGAAGCATTAATGAATGTACTGTCTTTGGCTGGAACCAGTTTGCTGAACCTTCTAAGAAGGGACCTCTCTTCTGCCATCTCCCATTGCTTTTCCCTCTCTGAACTTACTCATGGGTGTGACTTGGCCTGTGGCATCATGTTCAGATGAGTGTCGAAAACCAGACACACACAGACCATCCTGAGAGTTATCTGACAAATTAGTTTGTGCCCTGCTTTGCCTGTCAATAAGAACTGCTGAGTTCTGTCTCCTGGGGTTCCCTAAAGATGTTTCTTACCTTAGTAGCAGCATTGAGAGGCAGGTTTTGGTCTGACCTCTTGACAGACCTCCATCAGACTGCTGCATAACAGCAGTTCCTCCAGCTGCTTTGGAGATACAGTTGATCCTGACACAAACACGTTAAGACACGTTTACCAGAATTCTCTTATTTTTTTAAGACAGGTAAACACGAATCAGGACTTTGGTTTACTTTAGGGTGCCATATTTTGAAATGTAATACACTTTTTATGGTTTTATATGACATTTAGTTATGTTTTCCAGTAAATAATCATTTGCAGGTGATGGATTTTGGTGTTTCCTGAATAGAACAGTAAACCTCTGCTGTTCTTGTTGCTTCTCTTTTCATTGAAAGCAGGCTGAATGAGCTGTTGCCGAATGTGCTGCTTTATGCTCACTGCTATAGTCTTCACTTTCAAGGGTATTCTGGGACAGCTTGGGAACGGCTACACACAGTTATTCATATCATGTACTTTAAACATGAAATTAATAATCAGGGAAGACATCCTGAATGTTAACAGCTCGCAACAAAGGAAATAATGGATGCTTTGCTTGGCACATTTGGAGTTGGTTCCAGGTAGATGATGTTTTCTTCCAAGTCTTTGAAACAGCAGTGAACTTGGAGGTAGGGGAGAGCGGAAGGAAGGAAGCTAACTCCTACGTTTTATTTGGTAATGCTGGTAATTGTGAACATATGAGTTTTGGTTTATATAGAATATGGAACTATGATTTGTTGATTCTTAATCACATGTAATCAAGTTCCTGAAACTGTTTTTCCTGTACTGCTGTATGCTCCAGCTTTGTAAGTCTGTAAAGAAAATGCTTTAGTATTGGCAGTTTCCAAACTAAACTAGGCTAAACTAAAAGCCTAGACTGAGCATGACTCAGTTAATAGGAGCATGACTCAGTTAATGTGACTTTATAACCTATGTTCTGCCTCACTGAGGGAAGATGTGTGGTGTGGTCTGGTTCATAACCTGATGGTTTTAAGACTGGCTTTTTTTTAGTCTCTACTTACAGCATTTGGACTATGTAGTGCCCCAACTGCACTGCATGCAGGTCATGGAAATCTGCTGGTAGAAAATCTTCATGGGCTTGCTTTAGCTCTCATCAGCTGCAAAAGGTTAAAAAGAAGTGTGTGCTGCACACAGTGATTTGACATTCAGGTTTCAGCGGTGTGAATAAGCCCTCTGATGCAGTTGATTTCTGAGCATTTTGCCTTAACATTGTCTGTCAGAGGCCCAGCAGGTATGAAGGTGCTGTATGGAGTGTGCCAGGCTTGGTTTCAGTAGTGTAGGAGTAACACAGCCTGTGCTGGGAATTAAGCAGATCAGTGGCCTGGAGTATTTTTTACTAGCTCAGGGCCAAGTGCATAGTTTCCACTGGATTTATGCTGTTGATTGTCAGGGTAAGGTAGTTTCAAGTCTTAACGTGGTATCCTTGCAGAAGGAAGAGGTCAAACATGTTGCTTCATTTTCTATAAAGTCAGGTTACAGACTACTGAACAAGGCGGCTGTTTTATGCTATTACTCTTTCATTGAATTTCATCTCAAGTTCTGTGAAAACCTGAAGTCTCAGGCCTGAGAATGTATTAAGTATATCTTTCACAGCTTCTTTAAATACCTTTAAGGCCTGCCTGCAGTTCTTGCTTTCATGGACTTTTCTTTCTTATCTGTAGCTTATTTTTACACGGTGAGAATTAAACAAGATCTAGCAAATGTAAGGATTTGAAGACAAAAATAGTTAGCTGACAACCAGGAGCTGTTGGTCTAACTGAGCAACCCCTCTGTATTAAGAGCCTTGTGCTGAGGAATATCTGACTTTGCATGTCCCGAAACATCCCTTTGTGGAGCATCTGTGAGAATTAGTCCAGGTTACTTCATTAAATCAACGTAAAGGACAAATCTTTCAGGCTTTAAATTGGAATGCGCCGCTGTGGAAAAAAGAGATGTCAAGGAAATGCACAAGAGTAGCTATGTGCCGAATTCACCTTCACATAACACTGGTTTTAGTTTATTCTGGTACTATGTTTGTATTCTTCAAAAAAGATGTTCTATGTCACAGGCACTCTCTCTCTAACCATGAAATCCACCTTTCTCATTAACAAAAGGAAATAAAAACATGGCCATCTTTTCCCTACCAGAGACCTCCTGCAATGGGGGTATATATCATGAGGGCATAAGCATATATCATGCTGCTGTCACTAAGTTTCCTTTGATTTTTCCTTGATGATGGCCTTCCTGAAGTCTTAAAGTCCCGCCAGTCTTAATTGACTGGTTAGAGAGAAATACGGCAAGACAGTGTAAGTGGAAGGCAGTAAACCATGGCCGTGCTGGTAACCGAGTGATGGCATTCCTTTCTTGTGGAAGGCGAATCTTGGTCTTGCCCTACTGCAGTGCTGATGATGGGTCATTCTGAAGATGGGTTTCATAAGCAAATCAGTAAAAAGCATCCATACAGAAATCTGAATAATTGTACTTGCTCTGGGGAAAGCACTGACACTTCAAACACCACTGCACAAAGGTCTGTATCCCAGCCTCACAGCAAATACCAAACCCACATGTATCTCAGACAGGGGCACAGCTGGAAGATTATTTGAAGTGTGTTAAGAGCTAGACATGAGTTCAGTTTCTTTTGGATGGGATCTAAATGAGTTTCAATAGCAAACTCAGTGCAGCCATATGCAAAGGTGGGCTTGTCTTGGTTTTACAGATCCTTAAATCCTCTCTAACCAAGAAAAGCTAAGAAAAAAATCCTGGCATCTCCTCCTTGTATTTATATGATAGTACACAGCAAGTATTGCCTTATGGCGCTTTGTCCCTCGTCATTAAATACCTCTTCTGTCTCTGGTTAGGTGGATTTTTTAACTGTAGAAATGTGGATATACAGCTGTTTGACTACACAACCTAAAAGACCAAAGTGCTGACCCAGTGTCCTGAGCCCCTGGCCCCGGAACATGGGTTGGGTTGAGAGTCTGGCTTAAGGGTGTTAAAAACAGGGTGGGAGGAAAACTAGTGATTACAACAAACACTTCAGAAATAGGAGATGAAAAGTCACAATACGCTATGGAGAGAATGCATTTTATGGAATGTGGTGTGCCTGCTTTTATAAATCCTAATGGAAGTTTATTGCATAATGCATTTGATTTTAGGAGTCGAGAAGGCAGATGGTTTTGTGGTTATCAGTGCTTCTAACTGGAGTTAGAGCTGCTCACTCTCAGGGTTCTGGTGTCTCAGAGAACGCAGGGTGGAGTGGTGAGGAATGCTGTCACTTTGAATGAGCAGTGCTAGCACAGTGTGTGCAAAAAGCGTTTTTCCAGCTGAGAGCTGTCTTCTTGCAGTATTTCATCTGTACTGTCCCTCAAACTCCGGTTTTGCAGGTGGCAGTTAGCTCTGTGATGCAGCAGATTGTTAGTACACTCACATTAGAGTAGCTCCTTCAGACACAGTGCCACTCTGCTGTCACAGCTGTTTGTAGGAGGAAAGAGACTGTCACTCTCCCAGTAGTTGCAGTCTAAACTGGCAAAAGGGCCATGGAAGTGGAGCAGCTCAGTCTCCAGTTTGTTAATGCCACTCAAAACTTCCAGTATCACTAGAAAAAAGTGTCTGAGTTCAAATACACTTTTTAAGAAACTATCTTTTGCTTTAAACAACAATAATAAAGTAGCTAAGGGGAGGGAAGGCAGGAGGAGCAGTGCAAACAAATACAGGAGTTCAAGTGAACCAGTTGCTTTCAGGTTTCTGTAGCTGTCCCATCAACAGTAGACTTAATTTTTCTTCTCTCTTTTTTTTTTTTTTTTTTAAATCTCTTGCAGGAAGTCCAAGGGAAAGCCAAATGGTAAAAAGCCAGCACCAGAAGAGAAGAAACTTTACCTAGAACCAGAATACACAAAATCCAGAATTACTGACTTTGAATTTAAGGAGCTAGTGATGTTACCCCGAGAAATAGACCTCAACGAGTGGCTAGCCAGCAACAGTGAGTATTGTGATCGTACAGCTCTGAGCTTGCTGTACACACCCAAGCAGGCAGTCATTCACTCTGCTCTTTTTTACTGGTTTTGGTGCTTAGAAAACCACTCAATGACTATGCTTACTGCATAATGCCTGTCATTATACCTTGAATAGTAATTAAGCTGTCTTAAGTACAAACCAACTGTGCTCAGCAGCACAGAAGCCCCAATGCATTTCTTCCTTCCAGCTGCCTCACTGTGGCGCTGAAAGCATAGAGGTTTTGATAATTTTTTGAGGACTATAAGATTCCCTTTGATTTTTTGCTAAACTGGCTGGTTCAGCATGTTTCTGACTCAAGCTATTAGTCTTCCAGAAGCACTGTAAAAATGGTAGTTTATTAAGACTTGCATGTAAAGCAAGTTATACCTAAAGCCAGGAGTTTTGAAGTCTTTTGGTTGTATTTCCTTTCTCCACTCCTCCCAAGCCTTGGTGGAATCAGTGTGAATTCAAACTTGTCAAGCCAGAACTCAGACGTGACTGACTACTGTGACTGAATATTGTATTTGTGCATCCCTGTTCTGATCTACAATATTTCCCTGTGCTTCTGCTTCACCTACCAGGCCTAATCTGCAGCTGTGACCCACTCTTGTCTATGTTTTCATCAGTCTGTAGCAGTAGCAAGAAACTACCTTTAACTGCACACTAGGAAACTTTATAGAAACTCATTAAGAAAAAGTGAGGTGTCCCCTGAGGAGTATTAAGATGGTAAATCATCTCAGATTTTTAAACAGTTGAAGTGTACTAGTTTTCATGCTGTTTTTTTAAAAAGTATGTTGTGAGAACTATTAATGCTGTTTTCTAGTCACTGCACGTTTTAAATCTGACTTCAAAAGAATGTAGCCAATGGTTTGCTTTCAGCTTGTAGTAGTGTGCTACTGTAAAGGTGAGGCTGATGACGAAGACACTTTCCAGTCTTGCTGCTTAATGAGTAATAAGAGCCGATGCATCATGGTGCTTTAATCTTAAATCAAAACAAGAGCTTTCTTTCTATGCAGCTTTGTTTTGCAGTTCATCATTAGACTTGTTTAGCCAAATCATGTTTATATTTGTATGCTAGCTCAAGACTCTGAGGTCACTTCACTTTGCTCTATTTGAGTAATTGTCCAGCATTTGAAAGTATTTTGTTTCTGAATTTCTTTCTTTTGTGTTTATTTTTCAGCAACAACTTTCTTTCATCACATCAACTTACAGTATAGTACAATCTCAGAATTCTGTACAGGAGAGTCATGTCAGACCATGGCAGTGTGCAATACGTAAGTCAATACTTAAAATTACAAGGTTTCCATGAAATCTTCAGAGTTGCATGGGGGAGGATGTTGGTACTGGATGGCATTGGGCAAGTGTTCTAGAGCAGATCTCTACTTGGAGAGAACATGGCAGCTGTACATCCTCTTCTCTCCCCTCAGCAGTGAAGGTTAGTGGAAGTCTGTTTCTGTGGAGGACCAGAGGGACGAGAACCTTGGACTGTTCTGAGCTGGTTTTATACGCTCAGATCAGAAAGGGAAATTACCATGTGCTTAGCTTGAGGGGAGAGGACAAGAGCAGGGCAAAACTGTCCTTACTGGTAACAGTGTGGGATTCCATAGAAGGCCAGGGAGGATAAATTGCAAAAACCTCACAGGGTGCTTTTGATAGCTGGAATGCTGACAGAGCACCAGGCTGCTGACAGATAACCTCTAGCCTCATGTGAGCCACTAGCTTTCTGCCTGAGTCCCTGGGCACAGAGGACACAAGTGGCAGCTTTGCAAAGAGTAAGGAAAACATTTTGGTTTGCACTTCCCCCTGTAGGACTTAGTAGACATTTTTTAACATTGACTAACTGTCACTTATGAAAGGAAGCTTTGTAGTTTTAATGTACATGATGAATATAAGAAAAAGCTCCCATAAACCCCTGCTTTTGATTAGCAAAGTCCAACGTGATAGAATATGAGATCCCGTCAAGTATGAATAAGCCTGTGTCGTGTTGGTTTTTTTTTCTCGAGCACATGTGTTGATAGTAGTTTTCTTCCCTCCTCTTGCATTTCCTGGGATTAATTTAGTTGAGATGGATTTTAAAGCAGAAGACTGAGCAGTTAATCTTATAGTACCTCAAACATCCCAGGAAACATATGCAACAGAACCAGAGCTCTATATTGTATCTCTGACAATAATTACATAGTGCTTAGAAAGGAATCCTTGCTTAATGTACTGGGCTATCTAGACACTTGAAATTACTATCAGGGGCTTTCTTTGATAGCACTGAAGAATGAAGAGTGTAAAGAGGATATTTTTGCACGTAAAAGTTGGAAAGATAACTGCCAGTAGAGAATTAAAGACCATCCTTGGGACTTTGAAATCAGGCTGGAACACAAACTAATAAATCTCTGGTGGACCAGATTTTATCGAAAGGAGACAGCATGTCTCTGAATGAGAAATGGTCATCAGTAAGATGAGTATTTTTTTTACTCTTGCTCCCAAGTTTTCTCATGTTTAAATTCCTGATGTAGCACTGGCTGTCCAAAGGACTGAGTTTAACTGTTTATCCACTTGGCTGATGGGAAATAGCAGGTAAAAGGAGGTGGTGGTAGGGAATCTGTGTAAGCGTCCCTCCATTCTGCTCTAGTGAGTCTTGAGGAACTTTGAGTTCTTTGTAAGCAGTTCAGGCTGCACAATAAAGAAAGGAAGTGCCTGTAGGCGGCTCCAGCTGTACTCTGTATTTTTAGTGGTTAAGACTGATAGCAGAGTGTTCCTATTCTTTGTTTTGGAAAACTGAAAAATTGTGCTATTTGGGAATAACAGGAAGCATGTCTAAACTTGGGTGAAGCACTTGAAATGGTTTGTGTTTAGCTAAATCATAACATCTTAAGTATCTTCCTGTACTTAGGGGCAGATGACTGATTGATGTTTGCAAACTGTAGGCTGCATATTTCATTCTATCAAGTGTGTGGGTCTGTGAGAAAACCATGTTGGTGAGATTATCTGGCTACAGCTGCATACCTCAATACAGTTCAGCTTTGAAGGTCCTGTTCATAACTGTGTTCTCCAAATATCTCTAATGACAATTCTGGATAATCCCTATGTTCTGCTTTTCCTAGCTCTTCCCTTTTGGAAGAGATACGTCCAAATGGAGCATGGAGAACTGCCTCAAAGATGCTCATTTGTTCATATCCAATTATGACTATGACAAAGCCGTATGTTGCTTCCCCACCCCCTTCCTTTTTCTTATATTCCTTTCTTTTTTCCTCCACCCTCCCCCCTGCTGTTTTTTTTTTTTTTTAATCTTGCTCTAATGAAGTAAGGACATGGTCATTGTGTTGGAGAAACACCCATTGATACGATTTATTGTGCCCCTGACATGTCTCTAGTATATAATGTGTACCTCCTAAACATTAGAGTCAGTTGCTAATTAACCTGATTGATAGACACTCCAGATTTGACCTGTGGTGGCTGTGATTTGTACAGCATCTACCTACATTAGACTGCCACAGAATTATAGTACATTGGAGTAAGGGTGCAGTTCAGCATTTTTTTCAGTGCTGATTTCTTAGGTAGCTCAGTATGACAGTCTGCATTCTGTTCCTTTTTTATATTATGTTTCCCTGCCCAGTTCTCTTAAGGCATGTTTTGGATCACACCATTCTGGCTGTACCTGAGGAAGGCTTTTTATTGGCTGAGATATTGAAGTGACTATTGAGAACAGGTTACTTGTCAAGTTACTTTGCATTCAAATGCACTGCAAATACTCAATCCTAAGTTTAGAGTATTTGCTGTCAAAATAAATACCAGTTGTAGTTAAATGTTTGAGGTAAGGTTTTAACATCTCAGAGAAGTCCCAGCCAACTGATAAACTGCAGACAGATGCAGCTTTTAGTTCTGTGTCCGATACATGAGATATCACAGCCATCTGCACACAATGAGGAGGAGAATTTCTGCTTAGGTCACTAAGAGACATCTGACCAAAGTCTAGTTCCCTTGTAGAACAGATGGGAGCATTTGCTGGAAAGGTGGGATAATGACAAAAGAAATTCCAGAATGGCCAATTATCTTCAAAGTTTAATGAGGGTAGCATGAATGTAACTTTGGGAATTCCTTAATTTCATTCATTAATATGCTGATGATTCGCTGTAAAACAGGTACTGTGTTTTTAACATAGTATTTACTATTTAGTTTTAGTATGCTTTGTAGTTTATTACTACACAAGCTAACTTTAAAGCACCTTGAGCTGTAAACTAGTTTTCTAGCTCACATCTGGGCAAAACTTCTCAAAGTGTGGAAGCGGTGAGTGGAGTAGCTAAGAGCCTTTATAGTCTTACAGTTTCCTTTCTCATGTCTACATTGCCCTTAGTGTCTGCACATGGGGCATATTTCCTTCTAGAAATCTTAACTCAAACTTGCATGTTTTGTGTTTTCTTCTGTTTAAGTTCCCTGAGCTGTGTGCTTGTCATGGTTGCTTCTTTCTCTCTTCCCTCATCCCCCCCATCTAAATGTTGCTTTGGTCCATCAAACCACCAAAGGTATTCTGAGTTGCTGACAAGCACTGTATTACTGCCCCTGCATTTGGTACAGTTTGCTATCCTGCTTTCTTCATAATACATCTCTTGCTATTTCTAGAAGGCCTGTCTCTTCTTTCTTTCTGCACAGCATCTGCCAGAAGTTTTTCTTACATACTGATGTTTGTTCTGCCCTGGTTTCTATGTCATCAGCACAAACCCAGAGTGTTTTACAGGCAAAGAGATAAAATATGTACATATATTAAGATGCAGTACTGTGACATCCTGTGTGCTATACTTTATTATTTGCATGATAGACTTTTCTCTGCTAAACTCATAGTCCTTTCTCCCTGCGATTTAGAGTGGAGCTGCAAATTCCTCTTGCTCTCTGGCAAAATTTAAATCTGACAGAATTTTACATAGGAAATAACTGAAATCTGCATCACCTGAGCACTTTCTGAAAAGTGCCTTTGTGTCATCTTCTTGTCCTTTCTGCTTCTCATCCATTGCCTAATTCAGGACTCTTAACTGTCACAGTGCCAGTAGTGGAATGCAGTTAGGCTGCTGTGCCCTTTGATGGCCCCAGCCTGCTTCCTGTCTTGTTGAAGGAGATAAGTCCAGCACGGGTGGGAGCTGAGTACCAGGTGCAAGATGTTCATGTCATTTCAGGGGCTCCTCTTCCTCCAGGACCTGTAAAGACTCTGTTCACAGAACTCGAAACATAAGGAAGACACGTGACTAATATACAGGACAATCCTTGCAGTTATCCCCTTAGTTCAAATGATTCTGCTTCTCAATTCCTATTTTGCTTAATTAGCCTAATTTTCAAGGAAAGGCAAAAATGGTATGCAGTGGGATGTTACAGCAGATTTATTCATTTACATTTTCATGTAAGTGAACTTGTACAGTTGCCAAACTGTTTCTTTTAACCAAAATCCACTTATCCAGTTTCATTTTTGTGCCTAAGGGCAACTTTGAACTATGCTTTCTATCTTGCAGTTGAGGATTTCTGCAGCATGAGAAAAGTGCTGAGGTACAGACAGTCCAGTCTGCCTCTGCTCTTGGCAAGAAGCATTGTCTAAGACCAAAATAAGTGTGAGTTGCCTAGAACTGTCTTGCTCCGGCTTACTGCAGGACTAGACAAATGAGGTGGCTTGTGCTAGAGCACTGCATTGTATAATTCCTTATATGTGGATTGTATAAAGGAAGTAAAGAGTGATGAAGAACACAGTCTGCGCCTAAGGGCCCAAATACTAGTTCTAATGCCTGATGTAACTCTACAAAGAGCTTTTAACTTCATTCACTTGCTCACCTTTTTATGCAGTCAAACATGCTCTCTAGTAAACAGCAGAGTGACCAAGCACCATATGCTGAAAATGAGCTGAACGACAAATTCTAAACCTTACACGTCTGCAGAACTAGTTTTCAGTTGCCTTTCCTCTCTTAAAGCTTGAACTACTCTATTTTTGTTTTCCTATGGCTTGGGGCATGAACAGTGTTAGTGTCTTCACCTCACTGCCCTCAGGTCCCTGAAGAACCTTTCAGGGCAGTGAAAACACACTTTAAATCAAAATTTTTCCATCACTATGTAACATTTCTTTTTAGTGGCTTCAGGACTGTTCTGGTGGTCAGTATACCTAAAACTTCACTTTCCAAATGGCATGTGTACATTCATCCAGTTCAATGCAGTCTGGTCCTGTTAGGCACAGAAAAAACATTTAATCTTCAATCTTTTACCTTCCACCCCACCTCGCCCTACCACACCCTCGAAAACCAAAAGTATACAGAGGTGGCTAAATGTTACACTTAAGTCATATTTTGTCTACAGTGAGGCTTGTTCGGTGATTTTGTGAGGAATGTCAGGTAGCAGATTATTAGCTGAAGAGCATCAGAGTTGGAGTTAACAGACAGGCAAAACACGTCTTTATGCGCTCATGTGTTGAGTGAGGTGTATTTCTAGCCAGTTCTGATGCTCAGACCACTTTCAACCTTGCTTCCAAAGGCAGTCAGCAAACCCCACCTATGCTTCATTCTAGGAAGACCAATACAGTGGATCTCTTACCGGTCCCATAATGCTATAGGACTGTGTCTGGAGCTTAGACTGTTTGAATGAAACATTCAGGAACTGGAAGTCAAGATTCACTTGTAATATGACACAGGCCAAAAAAAAATAAAAAATTGCTGAATTCCTTACCTGTAAAACGTTTCTCATTGTGTGCCTAATGCAGTGATGGATAGGTGCTCCTGCTGACAGTTACAGGTGCTTTAATTAACCATGACTTAAAGAAAAAAAAAGGAACAAGCCTTCAGTGCTTATGTAGTCTTCAGATTCTTCATCAGGTGAGGAACGGCCACGGTTAATCAAGATGATTACAGCTGATTGAAGTATGGTTGCTTATGAAGAGCCAGGCAGTATGCTAATGCCTGCTGTTCCTATAGATCCAATAGGATTATTCACCGGTGGCAGAGTCCACAGGTGTTTTGGGGAGTCTTTAATCAGAGGAACAGAGTTCTAAGACATGCTGGTAGGGATATGCAAAGGGTCCTGAAAACCTTCCTCAGATTGGATTTTGGAATGGGATTTGTAGTGCTTAAAAGTGCTGCTAGTACTTCAGAGCACCAGCTTGAAAACGCTGGTGTTTTGGAGCCACCTTCTGTCTGTTTAATAATACTACAAGACCAATTTTGTATCGGTAAGCATCAGAAGATCACTAATTGTGCAATGTTGCTGCCCTTTAAAAATAGTTAAATAATGCTTTATTGTACAGTACTATAAATTGTACGTAAACCCTCAGCCTGTCACTCATAGGGAGTTACCTCTGCCTCAGTAGAGCTCTTCTCCTTGGAGAATGGTCAGCAGGCATTCTGTGCTTAGCACTGCTACCTACACTCTGGACTAAATTAATCAGGAGAAACAAGATTAGGTAACAAAAATTCAAGAGGTTTAATGTGCAAAGATACCCTGAAGTGAATCTCTTTTGTAGAAGTTATGATGCATTTTGGTAATATTGCACTTGTTGTTTTAGATTAGACACTAACCTCTTAAAGGAGTTGAGTTGAGGAGCCAAGGTACAATGTGGTGACACTGTCCATTCTCTCCACAGACAGTACTACTGGTATGATGAGCGGGGAAAGAAGATCAAGTGCACTGCTCCTCAGTATGTCGACTTTGTCATGAGCTCAGTGCAGAAACTAGTGACAGATGAGGATGTCTTTCCAACAAAATATGGTATGTCTGCTTTTGGATAGGTGCTTCCTGTGGCACTTTGCAGATGCCCTGAGTAAGGTGGAAGTTGCATTCAGCATATGTGTTACTACCACACAGCTTTCTCACTTGTTTGTCTGATATTTTGGGGGTGTTTTGGTTATTTTAGAGACTTCATTCTTGCATTAAAAAAGACTTGCACTGCTGGCATCTGAACAGGAACTGAAGTCTCACAAACCTATCCCTTTGGCTTGTATTTCATCATTAAGTACATCTTTTTCCTCAAGGATTTTGGGATCTTCTAGCCTGTATTCAGAAAGGATAAGAATTTTAAAACTATCAGCATGAATGTGTTTAGTACAGCCTGCTGCTAGTAAAATTTAACCTTCTTGTTGATTATTTCCTTTATAGCTCCAATGCATTAAAGGGGAAATTGGACTGCCAGGAATGTGGCTTGTCTTCCTTACCCAGCAGGGCTTGTCTCACAGATTGTTTGCAGGCTCCCTCTCTCCCCTCACTTCCAAAGATTAAATGTGATTTTTTAAGAACTAAAAAGCAATAGGAAAGTAATTTTAACTCTAATTTATATCCTAACAAGATTGCTATGTGAGTGCATTTGGTTAAGGAGAAGAAAATAGAGACCTGAAGTTACTGTAGGTGGGCTTAATCAGGACTAAAAGCAGCACTTCAGTTGGGGAACTAGGATGTTACAATACAGCAAACATTAAGCCTTTGCTTACACACATCTTGATCTGGAGAGAGGCAGTGTCTAGTGAGACAGTGCCTAGGAAGGCAGCTGCAGTTGACTTTTTTCTTTTCAGCATGCTTGTTGAAGGGCAATGAGGGCATGTCATGCAAGTGATTTCTCCGTGTGGCCAAGGTGCACTTCAGACCAGTAACATAATTCGTATTGTGCATCATGCATGGGACCACAGGCGTTGCTTTTGGTTGCCTGAGTTTCACTTTTAGTGTTACCAAAGTAGTTGTCCAATAATTGTCTTTTACTGTGCAGGCACAGGACTGCTCCAGCAGCACAGTGTCAACTGCACCTCATAGAAGGCACCCAGTATTTTCTCCCATTTCTTTTCCCATTTGATAGAATTTCAACAGTGAAATGAGGGAAGTCATTATAGACAGTCAAACTGCTACACACTACCAAGGCCTGTGTACCTTAGCTTCCATTTCAGGATTTGTGTATTGGTCTCCCAAGTATTCTGTGCTTTCAGGGGGAAAATTTACTACTCCTGGACAAACTAGATAAGGACCTAGAAGAATTTCTCATTACTGTTACAGCCAGTAACAAAAGATGCTGGGGTTCTAAAGAATGATTACACTTGCTTCCTGATTTTGAACCCTTAGGGTTTCAAATTTCAAATGAAAATGCTTGAAGAATCTCCTTAGATTCTTCCCCTGAATTCGTGTAAAAAGATGAGGATGATATAGGGTGCACAAGTTGTCTGCTGTATAAGATGGGCTAGTTGCATTTACCCACAGCTCAGCCCAAGCAAATGCTGCTGTGGGTCTGAGGGTGAGCAGCTGGAGCTATCTATCATGGTGTTTCTCTGTCTTCCTTTCAGGCAAGGAATTCCCAAACTCATTTGAGTCCCTAGTGAAGAAGATCTGCAAGTACCTGTTCCACGTGCTGGCCCATATCTACTCCTCACACTTTAAGGAGACTTTGGCACTGGAGCTGCACGGACATTTAAACACACTCTACACACACTTTATCCTATTCATCAGGGAGTTCAACCTCGTGGACCCTAAAGAGACCACCATCATGGATGACCTCACAGAGGTCCTCTGCAGCAGCAGCGGGAGCAGCAGTAATGGGAGCGGCAACGGGAGCAGCAACAGCGCAGGAGCACAGAACCACGTCAAAGAAAGATGAGCCTTCCTCCAGGATCAAAACTAACATTAAAAACAATATTATATATTCTGTGTGTATGTGTATGTATATGTTCAGATATACATACAGACATATACAGCAATGAAAGCTGAAAGAAATTCTGCTGCCGCCACAGGACGTGTAGTCGCATGGGACTGTATGGAGCTTTGGTTTAATGCGCCACCCGGCGAGAAGTTGCACCGATTTTATTTTATTTTATTTTCTGTCCACTCCTCCTTTTATCTGTTCAGATGGATGATGAGTGCTGTTTTTAGAGAAAAGCCAAGCTTGAGTGGGGCCACTCTTGGTTATTTTGGTTGTTGGTTGTTTTGGGTTTTTTTTTTTGTTTGTTTGTTTTGGGGTTTTTTTGGTTGGTTGGTTGTTTTTTTTGTTTTTCTTTCTCTGGTCTTGAGTGCAAGCCCTTTGTCTTTCTAGGATGGTGGTCCTGCCATTTAAAAATATCTATTATATTATAAGAAGTGACTTTTACTTTGAAGTGGCTTAAAATGCAGGTTGGTTTGGATTTTTGGGGGAGGGTAGGGGTGGTTTTTTGGTTTGGTTTTACATAGACTGCCCCTTACCCTTCCAGAAACTCCCCAGTTGAGTACATCTTACCCTTTGTCATCTTGGAATGGGAAGAAACTCCTGGCTTGACCAGAGTAGCAGCTAGGGGGTTGATACATGTTGAAAGTGGGCATGATTCTCCAGTTGTCCCATATACCTGGTCACAACATGTGAACATGCAAGAGGATTCACAAGCCTTTCTGCTTATTGCTCCTACAACATATATACTCTTCTCTCTGCTCCCCTGCCTCCTCTTTTCCCAGGCACACTTCTACAAATAAAAAGAGTTAAGATCACTGGAATCCCAAAAACCATGTGCAAGAGCCACCACCATTTGCTTCCCACTGAACAGAGGCCCGGGGAGGGGGGAGAAAGGTACATGAAGTCAGTCACTGCCTGTGCTAGAAAGATGGCTGTTGGCATAAAATTATATTGTTGGCTTATTTTAGTTCATCTGTTCTATAATAATAAAAACAAATCTATCAACTGCAAGCTTGGTTTTGTGTTTGCAGCGTCAAAAGTCCATGGAATCTACCCATACAGCTTCTCTTTCACCACTGAGCACTGTTGGCTCTGCTGTCAACTAGCTTTATAACTAATAGTTTGTGTTCCACCCTGTGATCCTACATTTTTAGTCAATTTCTTGCTCTTCCTGGTAGTGCTAGGAACCTCCTCCTCAGGTAACTTAAAGATAAGCACTCCAAAGTAAAGTACCATGTGGAAAGGAGCAAGTGTCTTGTTTGTACATCCTTAAATTCTGCAAATGCTCCTGGATATTTTGCAGCGACTAGTGTATTACAGTTCTCTGTGGATACAGTATTGTATCAATATTGTATCAGGACAGTAATATTACTCTCTCCTTCACATCTCCACTTGGGAAGATGCTAAATTTTGTTTGCAGTTGTGCTTCTAGCAAACCTGTGGCAGCCTCTTAGAATTGTCAGTATCCTGAGGTATATACATCATTAATAACTGACCTGGCATGAAGCCTAGAAGGTTTTTCTGAATGAGGTCTCCAGCTACCAAAAGTCAGTAGAGAAAAGGAAAGGAGAGCAAGTGCAAACAAAAAAGAGAAGTAAAAGCACAAGTAAGGAACAAAAGCTTGTGAAGAAGCATGTGAAAGTAACACCAGATAAAGTAAGAAAACTGTGCAAGTGAGAAAAAGAGCAAGAAGTCATAAATACAAGAAAAAAGAGCAGAAAGGCATGAGCACAGGAGAAGGGAAGTGGAAAAGCAAGTGAGAGAAAACAATCTAGAACTTCATAAGCCCAGATTTGTTTGTTTCCAGATTGCAGGTACCTTTTGAACCTGCAGGCAAATGTGCTGGAGTGTCACTGACCTGCTCATCTGGAGGCTGTTAACACAGGCTGTTTAAGAGCACTCCTTCCCATCCTGTCTGCCTGCTACAGCATCCATATCCAGATTAATACTCCTATTCAGTCTCCAGTCATGCTGGTATGAGCCTTTCCATTACAATGCCCTATGCTAATGTCTGAAGCTATCTGACAAATAGCATTTGTAAGAAAGACCCATGCTACTTGCAATGAGAGCATACAGTAGAGCTCAAGGTAATAAAGTAATAGCAAGAACAACCACCCAAAACCAAGTATTTCTGGTAATTTATTACCTACTTGTAAAAAAAAAAAAAAAACAAACCCAAACCAAAACCACAAAAAACATTTGGAGTCTTAATTCTAGAAGAATGTCTAGAAATAATACACAGTTTGGAAAGCTTTGACTTAACAGGAGTCAGCTCAACTCTCTGGAAACAGTGACTTAGCTACAACGCTTAAGTTTCAGATAATAACAAATGCAAGGGTGCCCATACCTTAGCTTCCCATAATAGAACTGCTAGAACCTTTTAGGAAGTCTGGGAACGTACGCATTGGTGTAAAGCAGCAAACCATTAGTTCAGCTACCAGGAGAACAATGAAGTAGGTATAAAACCACCTTTAGATGAGCCTGCTGTTGTTCATAGCAGCTGGCTCAAGTTTACTCTGCAGCCATTTGATATTCCTGAAAGCATAGATGCTCCTCTAAGCAGAGTAATCTTCTTTATATTTTACAAGCAGTTAACAAGAACACAAATAATGAATCCTATTTTATTATAGCCTATGTTGTTGGGTTTAGCAGTGGAATAAAGAGAACACTGAAATTGTGCCAACACTAATGTTTTTGTTAGGAGTAAATGTCACTATAAAGCTCAGCCTCAAGGCTTCCAAGCATATTTCAGAGGTGACTGATTTGTACTATAGTAACATCAGATAAAGAACTGGCTCTAAGTCTTGAAACTGTGGTTGGTGGCTGCCAATGAAGGCTGTCACTGACTTTCTACATGTGCAACATGTTGCTGACTATCCACACTGTGCAGCACTGAGCCTGAATCCCCCCTGTATTTAAAAGACAGGTTTAGGTCTAACACTGAGGAAATTTGTCACATTGTTGCTTTAAACAATTTACAAGACATTTAAAGTGCTGCCAGAACAACAGAAGCAGCTTAATGGGGCTACATTCACACACACATCTCCCTCCCCTTCCCTAAAGATCATGACATACTATACCATTGTTTAAGGATTGCTAAATAAATAAAACAAAATACACCAGAAAAATAACCAAACACTGCTAGAACTGACACTTGAACTATCTACACATGCACCCGCCCTCCCAGCATACATGCCCTTTGCAGGCCTTGCTTTGTCAAAGTCCCAGATTTACATCTGCCTTTGCAGAATCCCTAACCAACTTTCAGGCAACGAGCACAAGCTATCACAGGGCTAAAGTCTTTCCCTTAAAACCAGTAACAGTCATATATATGTTTTGCAGGACTGTGCTCCTGACATTTGGTGCTACTTCAGCCCAGCAAAACCAGAGTTATGCCCTCCATTTTTGCTTGAGAATTGCAGGAAGTTATCAAGTCTCAGATCCCATAGATCTCAGCCATTTTACACATGAATAACAACCTTTTAACAAAGAATTTTAAGAAAATCGTCTCCTTGTTTGTTACAGAACACTTCTGTGAGAAGAAGATCTGAGGAGGGAGAAAGATTCATTCTGACTCTCAGGTACCACCAGTTGTGGCCAAACGTGCATACCAAGGTGCTCTAAGATGGATGCTGTCAGGTAACCATTAAGAGAAGACTAAAAGACTGTTAAAGAAACAAACAATCCCATAAAAGAACAAGCCAACTTCTTGAGTGCCTGCTAAGTATGCTGATGTCATATAAAGCCACATTTTATCAAACAAGCCCTTACTCACATCTGCCATGTAACTTGTCCAGCCAATCCTTAGCTCACCATTTCAGCTGTTAACTGAAAGACTCAAATCCAGAAACTCTTCCATTATCTAAACTGAGGACAGAGGAATAGGTTATTCTTTTGTTCTGTTCAAACCTACTAAACAAATTAAACTAGTCTTCATGTCTGTAGCACAAATGGCAAAACACTTTAAATCTAGTTCTAAAGCCCAGATGCTGTAGTTACAACAGAGTTCAGTATGGCTAAGTTATACATGCCACTGTGGCAATACTAGTGTTTGAATACAAGCTTAGTACCTGAAGATTTAAAGTTATATCTGGTATCTTTACATGGTATAGCTATATGCAGTATAGACAAATCCCAATATTCCCCATGAAACTGACGATAAAAAGTGAGAAAAATACCAACCAGCTTGCAAAACCCCCCAGTGTGCTAATGTAGTCTCCATTCTTTTCATGGACAGAACAACTGTTCCAGTTGCAACAGCTGACATGAACAGTAAGACTTTTCAAAGCTGTGTTAGCATGTGACACAGAGAAAACAGAAATTGTTGTGGCCAAACACTCAGATGAGAGAACATTCAGAGAGCTTTGTCTAGGGGGGAAAAAAAAAAAAGAAAGAAAAAAATTAAAAGGACTGCCCCCCTCTCTGTGTTATTTGTGAATTCTTTTCATTATATCTAAAAAAGAGGCATTAAATACTCTGATGGTTTCCTACACACCAGCGCAGACAGCTAACATTCTCTCACAAAGTGGTGCAGGGTCCCTTACATAAAGCTCCTCTTTTTAATAGTGTCTGGGATAATTCCAAAGAAAGGGCACAGAAAGCCTCGGCTAGACAGCCTTTCCAGTCAGTGGAGAGCAACCCTCTGCAGCATCAGCTCAGATACAGAAAGGTCAAATGCCATCTCACAAAGGACTTTGGCTTCTGTGAAACCACTGCTTCAACCTGACATCAGTAAGGCTTAGAAGACACATGCCCTGAAGCAAGTACTGCCCTCAAGGACTGCAGAAGGAAACCTAAACAAGGAAAACAAGCTGGTCCTTGGCACCAGTCACTAATTTAACTACCACACTGAACCAATGAAAGGGCTTTAACGCTGGTGCACAAGAAGTTGAAGGTGAATCCACTCTGATGAATAAAAGAAAGGCTGCACAGCTCTATAGCACCGCATACTCATTAGACCCCATAAGGCCACACAGCAGTTAAAGTCCTGTTCTGCTGCTTTCTGCACAGCCTGAATTCCTTTAGGAAAGATTTATACTTGAAAGCTTTCCTAAATTACCATCCCCCTCCCCTTAATTGCATTTGGCCAAGTACCAAATGCAAAAAAAACCTGACTTCCATAGGATTCATTCAGAAAATCATCTCAAGGAATATTCTTTCTGTTCCTAAGCATCAAGGCTTATGGAGTAGTTTGGGTAGAAGAGCTAACTCTCACGTAAAGTCTGTTAGGCAATGAAATAGGTATTTATACAGAAATTCAT